GCAGTTCAAACCCACCAGCCACTTCTCGGAAGGAAGATGGGGCAATCTACTTCCATAGTGATACTGCCTCGGAAACCCAAGGAGGGGTCGCCGTGAGTCGGGTGCAACTCGACAGCACGTAACAACAACAACTCTGGTATGTGTGGCCCACTGTGTAAAGTGTAGACATGTATGGATTTTAAAAAATTTATATTTAAATTATTTACTTATAAATATATAAACATAATTTTACACAAAAGCAATAATAGCATACATTGTGTTTTATTTTTATTTTTTATTGTTGTTCCTGTGGCCCTCCTCCCAACCGTCTACATTGCCTCTTGACTTCCCTCCATCGATGCCATTCTACTGTATGCATTAAAGGGTAGTCTTCCATACTTATGTGCTTACATAAAATATGTCCATATACAGATATACATACAAATACATAGATGGGGGGGAATGAGATCTTATTATATATCCTTTTAAAAATACACATACCTTCCAGTCAACTGTCCCATTCCTGGGAATGTATACCACAGTTATAAAAACACTAGTTTGTAAGATTATATGTCAATAATTTTCTGTGTGTGAGTGTGTGTATGGGTTATCATAACAGGAAGGAAGGGGAATGTTGAGTAAATCATAGTATATCTGTACCATGGAGTATTACACTGTCATTAAAAAATGAACTTGATCTATACCAGCAGGGTCTCCTCTCTCACTCTCTGTATTGTTATGGATTTTACTATTTTTATTCCTTTACTGACATTTTAGTGGGATTTGCAGAGGGAGAGAAAATAAATATATGTGGACAGTCCTCTTTATAATTGAAAATCTGGCTAAGTGGACTTTAAGACTTGCTTGAACTCTTATTTCCTTTCCTGCTAGAGCTCCTAGGTTGCCTTGCACTATTTTAGCTTTTCCCCCTTCTTACCCTTCTTTATTTTAGAAACAGGAAATCCCCAGCCTTCAACTAGTTAAATCCTTCCTTCTTACTTGGCTTTTAACCCCTGCTGGTCTTTTTAACAGCAGCATCTCAAGGGACATGGCTGTAAGCATCAACTCCAAAAATAAACTGAGATCCAATGAAAAGCCAGTTCAGAAATTGTTCCTAGGATATTTGGACACGCTTGGATGGATAAGAATCATAGGGAATAAATGGCATTTCCGTAAAACGACAGCTAGTTTTTCCTCTTCTTTTGCTTCTGTACAGATTTGAAAAAGGGCGCATCTACACATTCATTGGAGAAGTTGTCGTTTCTGTAAATCCTTACAAGTCGTTGAACATCTATGGCAGAGACACAATTGAGCAGTATAAAGGACGTGAGCTGTACGAGAGACCTCCTCATCTCTTTGCTATTGCGGATGCTGCCTACAAGGCTATGAAAAGGCGATCGAAAGACACGTGTATTGTGATATCAGGTATTCAGGAGGGTCCCCAGTTCTTCCAAGGTCAGAATGTATTTACCTTTTTTGGTACTCGGGGATCCAGACTATTGATTAAGTGTTTTGTTTTATTTAAAAGTTAGACATGTAAGCAACCATGTCCTGGTTTTGGTTCATTTACAAATATATATTGCACTTGGATGGTGTGCGCTTTGGGTCAGTGTTGTAGACTGAGTTGACATGGGAAATGCTTCTACCTCTCCCAGACTCATAAAAGTACTGCATAAAATGTAATAAAAATTATTTTAAATAACAGCATGGAACCAAGAAAATTAAATGTGGAGGTGCCAAAAATGAAAAAAGTGCTCAGTGTCAGATGAGTGTATGAGAACTAGAATTGAGAAGTATCCAGAGACATCAGGGCCAGACACAGGCTTTTCGGGCTGAGGGCAGGAGTTTTAGAGCCCAGGAAGGAGGGAGACGGATCACAGACCCTGTGTGACTCAGAAGCAGACCTGAGCTATCCATCTGTGAATAGCTGAGCTCTTTAAGGAATCTCATGGAATGACATGGTGCCAAAAAAAAAAAAGCTTTTGGTATAATTATACTTCACATTTGCATTAGTGGTTTTAGACTTTTGAAAATGCTTTTATGGTCATTACCCCATTTTGGTTACAAAAACAACTCTCTGAGTAGTGAGTCGAATGAGTTATTTTCCTGCTTTATAGATGAGAAAATTAAGGGTCAGAGACATTAAGTAACTCAGTGTTGGAGTTAGAGAATTACATCCTGGGATTACATTTTGTTTTAAAAAATATTACAATATTACAAATATTACAAAAGCAATATTAGCCAGTTGTTTTAAAAGGGAAAAAAGCAAGCAGTTATGCATATGTATATAAAGTCTCTTCCCCTTAAATGCTTGGTTCCCACCTAAAATTCCAGTAGAAGCTGTCAACTATTTAGTGTGTATCCTTTTATGCAGACTCTCTATACATACAAATACATGTTGTCATATCACATATAAGTATATAATTATATTACTATCATATAACTTGTTTTTCCATTTAACAATATATAAACCCATTGCCATTGTGTTGAATCCAACTCGTAGTGACCCTATAGGCTAGAGCAGAACTGCCTCCAGAGGGTGTCTAAGGCTGTAAATCTTTACAGAAGCAGACTGCCTCATGTTTCTCCCATGGAGTGGCTGGTGATTTCAAGCCATCAACCTTTTGGTTAGCAGCCGAATGCTTTGACCTCTGCACCACCAGAGCTCCTTTTAACAATGTATACCAAAACAAAACAAAACCCACTGCCATCGAGTCATTTCCAACTCATAGCAACCCCTCCTTGGTTTCTGAAGCAGTATCTCTACGGAAATAGATTGCCCAGTCTTTCTTCCGAGGAGTGGCTGATGGGTTTGAACCAGCAGCATTGAACTAGTTAGCAGTCTAATGCCTTAGGCACTATGCCCCCAGAGCGCCTAACAATATATATAGTATATATATTTTTTTTCAATAGATACTCTAATGAAAAAAAATATATCCACTATATAACTGTTTTATTAGAGTATCTATAGAACTAATGCATTTTCTCTAACAATTGTGTAATATCCTTTTGAATAGTTAACTATTGAGTATACAGTAGTTTTATATTTTTCAAATCTATTACAACCAACCAAATGAAGACAGGATAAAATCGTTCAAAAAGTAAAAGATGAAACAGTGCAACAAAAGGGATTTTAAATGAATGACATCAAAATCTTAAATTATTCTATTAAAAGTTAGTTTCCTTGTGGTTTAAATTATTATGTTAAGGGCTGCACAATTTTTCCCCCAGGGGAAAGTGGAGCTGGTAAAACTGAAGCCAGCAAGTACATTATGCAGTATATTGCGGCCATCACCAACCCCAGTCAGAGAGCAGAGGTTGAAAGGTAAGAGCAACCTAGTAATGGGGAGGAATTCTGATGGAAGTTCACATTCTTTACAGACATGGGTAAGCCTGAACTCCCATGTATACCAAGCATTTATTAATGTTAAGCTACATTGATTCTCTTGTTACTTCCTGTCTCCAAACTTCAGTTTATATCAATATATCTGTTTCTGTATTTGTTTTTAATAGAAAACGAATACTCTGTTAAGTTTTATCCAATTATGAAATTAAAAAAAAAAAAAAAACCCTTTGAATCAAATAATAGTGTACCCATTCTAGTTTATTACTGCTGCCTTAACTGTGGTCAGGAAAGATGTTATCATTTACACTGGCAGGTTTTAGTGCCCAGGCTCTCGCAGGTGCCTTATTGTTCTTTAAACTGTGTTCTGATGAGCCCCAGGTTCCCTAGGGTGAAGAGGGATTCTTGAAGGCAGATCCATGTCTTCCCATCATTGCTGAAACAGAACCCTCTGTTACTAGAGGTTCTAAATGAGATTTCATTTCCTAAAAGGGTTTCATGCCAGGCTGTGCTGCCGCTCATAGTGGGATAAGTAATAGAGCTGGTCTGTACTGTCTGGAGCCCAACATTAGCACATGTGTTGTTGTTGTTGTTATGTGCCGTCGAGTCGGCCCCGACTCATAGCGACCCCTCCTTGGGTTTCCGAGGCAGTATCACTACGGAAGTAGGATTG